AAGGAAGTGTTTATTGCAAAGGTATTGAGTCCACACCTGAAGGAGATTCAGTATGAAGAGTTAACCTACTAACTATGATTACTGTGGTGCTTCAAATGTTAAAAAAAACATATGAAATCCTACAAATGCAACAAAATCAAGCTTTGTAACCAAGTTGCTGCTCTGTGAGCCTTGAAAACAAATCACTGTTTCATGTCAAAACACCCAGGAACTCACAGAAACTGCAGAGGTAGCATGTACCAGTCACCACCACAGCTGAGGCAACAGTGTTCAGTGCTTAATGGTCTCTCTTTCTCTCTCTCACACACACACACACACACACACACACACACACACACACACACACACACACACACACACACACACACACACACACACACACACACACACACACACACACACACACACACACACACACACACACTTAGATTGCATATGGGTCTTACATGTCATGAACATCCCCTTCATCTTTTCACTTTATCTGAAATCTAAATGAGGTTGCTCCTAATTACAAATTGCCTCCTTAAAAATGACATAACAGACTTACAAATTATCTAGGCAGCAAACCAGTCTGAGGAGAAAAATCACCTTCTGCTATGGGAACCTTGATGATAATAAGAGGAAAGTAGCCATATGTTCATTGCTCAGCTGCAAGCCAAGCTGCACTTGAAATGAACACAGAACTGTCACCTTTTAAGGGGGACTTTGGTGCAGATGCATTTATCAAAAAGGCTATTCTGCATCCATGTCTGCCTCCATCACATTTTAATGGTTAAACCATTAAACCATTAAACTATTCAACAACAAATAACATTATGTCATTGCTGTCAGCATGACATACCAGGACAATCATTGTCCCAGTGGATACACTGCTAGGAAATCAAGCAGGGCAGTAGGGTTGACCCCCTTTTCTCTGCTGGCAGGTCAACAACAGGACCGCTGCCTCCAGTCCAGCCAGGTGCATGAGTGGCTTCTGTCTCCGTACTGCCAAACAAATTAAGAAAAGCCCTGCCAACTGGTGATGGCTGTGTTTGTGTGTACATGGCTTGTGTGTGTGTGTGTGTGTGTGTGTGTGGGTGGGCGGGTGTGTTGGGGGTTGGAGGAATAAACAGCTGAAACTGTTATCATCCTCAAAGAGTGCACGGCAATGCATGCTAGTGTGATTAACACTGCGTCACCCACAACAGACAGACAACTGTCTGGCAGCTGCCTCAATCAGCTGAGCTCATTGAGTGGTAAGCCCAAGTCAGAGGGCCTTCAGAAGCATTACCTAACACACACTTGGCAATTAAAGCTGAGTCAAAAAAGCTGTTTCTCTGGGTCACATCATGATGAGATACTGATTGAAAATATTCCCAGGAAAGCAGCAACAGTAAGAAGCAGTATACTTTATTCAAGAAAGTTAGGCTATAGAGTGAGTCAGCCTTTCTGTCAGCAGACTACTTTCGGGGAAAGAGAATTAAATGTTGGTGGAGAAATGGAGACCTGTCCTCACACGTTTCAAGTCTACCAAAGGGATCTAACATGGCTTAAAGCTTAGCTTTTCACTTCACTTACACCAATCAAAAATCCAATAGAGAAAAACACAGCCAAAAACTTGGGCTGCACCAATTGATTGGCCTGTAATCAAATTTACAGAGCGAGAGGTGAAATCTGACATTTTCTACTTTGATTTGCTGTTCTGAAGCTGGGATTCCGTGGGTGCACCAAGTGGACTATCACGTCCATGCACAGGGTTTCTTCTGCCTATAACTGCTATAGGCTTACTGCTGTTACTTCAGAACACAGCTGGTGAAGAGTGTTTGTATCAAGAAAAAAAAAACAGGATGAAACTGATTCACATAAACTTCCTTCATGACAAAACACTGTCCCAGAGCAATTCTACCAACTTAGAAAAAGCAAGTTGTTTTGCAGTGCAGACACTGCTGTGAATCAATAGGAAGTCATAGGTGAAACTCACAATAAAATCTGAGGGGGCCTGTAACTTCAAAGAGAACACCAATTAAAACACTGTTTGATTCTTTACAATATAATCATCTTCTTGTGCCTTGGGGTCCCAAATCTATTAACTCCAGTGAGGCCTACTTGCCATGTAACCTCTCAGAAAATGTTGACATCAAAGGCAACAAGCCACAGCAAACTAGCATCCCACTTCCGGATTGGCAGACCATTAAAAAAAAAGAGTACTTAAAAGGGATTAAAAAGGCCAATTCCAAACAGATTCCTTACAGACTGAGTCTTGAAGAGGCAAGCGAGGAGGAGGAGGAGGAGGAGGAAGGATCTAGGAGGAGCACATGATGGAAAGACTAAATTAGCAAACTGTGTGTTTTTGTGGTCTTGGCAATGGGGAGATCCCAAAGGAGAGCTAATGACTGTAGTGGTATCTGGCATAGGGGCCAAGTTTCCTTGACTGCTTTAAAGTTGCCTCCAGTCCATAGCCACCATGTCATGAGCAACATATGCTGAGCTATCTTGCAATTATACCATTATCGAGGTCTCTCCTCCCACTGATTTCCATTATATGTTGCTGAGCAGATTTTACAGGGACTTTGTCTTTCTGGTCCTTCTGAAGGAAGGTAAGTCTGTACAGTCTGACCGACAAGAATTCAAGACTGTGAAAATCAACGGGGTGCTCTAATTAACACAATTTTCATTCATCTGCAAAAAAATAAATCTGTCCAGAATAATTTAATTTCTTACCAAACAACACTGATGCTAGATCAACCAAATAAAACAAATCCTTGCAATATAATCCAATGTGAAAACGGCAGAAAGACAGAAATGTGTATAACAAAGTATATGACCAAACTCCAATGCACCACACATTTAATTTCAAAACAACCTTCTATCTCAAATCATTTGGGGGGAAAAAAGGTCATCTTTATTCAAGCCTCACAGAAGGTGCAGTGAATATTTTATGTGCAATATGGTACTATCTTGTCTCAGGGACCATTAACTATACTGCAGTGTACCCAATTTGATTAACATGGCCTTCCCCATCAGGGCTTTTGTGTTACAAACCTCATCTCAGATCCCATGAAGGATGGGAATTTACACAGAAATTCTGCTCTTCAAGGACAACGGACAAGTAAACACAATGTGGCACAATATGCAATATAAGACTTTCAGGGCAACTTACTATTTGATTCCTGACTAAGAAATACAACCTACTGTAGCTGTTAATGGGTGTATAACTCATCTACATCTTATTTATTACAGGCCATTACCTGTGATTTGCCAACAATCTCACAAGAAATTATGCACATTTTATTGAGCCTGACCTTGAAAAACCTCTTAAAGCCTGAAAATAAAAAGCTATGCAGTAGAGATTTGTGCCCCACGCAGGAACAACAGTGGGGCAAAGTGACCACTGCTAGCTGTTGTATCTCTGTGACCTCTCATCTGTCTTAAGAGCACTAAACGACAAAGAGGAGTGGCCACGTTTTATTGTCCCAGCATGAGAAAGGGAGACAGAGCTGCTTCAGCTTGATGAATGGGGTCCAACTGGGAAAGTAAGGCTGGGATAAAGGAGCTGTATCCCGCCATAAAATGCTGCTGCTCCCTGCATTCACGTACACAGACCCTCCCATGTTTGAGTGTATGTGTGAGGGTGGGGGTGTGTGTGTGTGTGTGTGTGTGTGTATGTCTGTATAATAGGGAAGTCGTGTTATCAGAGTGATTCATACATGCGAGACGGGTTGTGACAACTTGATAGAAGACAATAAAAGCCTACAATACTTCTTCCTCTGTACTGTACTTGAGAGCAGTGGAGGAGACCAATGTGTAAAGCCAGTCAGACTCTCTTCCCTTTAATTTCAGCACCGACTGTTGAGTGAAGCAACCACGTCAAACAAAGGCAGAGAGAGCAGAACTATGAGACATGTACCTACTGTATACACTGACTGTTTGAACCAGACTACCTGTTAAAACCAGTCCTGAGGTTGTAAATCAAGTCTAGGCTGGTGGATGCAGTGTAAGCATAAAACAGATCATTGGATGGGGCCACTGCATGAACAAGAGACTAGTCAACAATGTATTTCTGAGCGTGACTCATGTTTAGTCATGTTGGAAAATACTCCTGATTTCCAAAGGAAAAGAAAACATCTGTTATGACACAATGGCTGGGCTTTCTCTACAGTCAAAATTAAATTAAAAAAGATGGCGGGTTATAGTCGTACCAAAGGGTCTGCGTTGGATGATTTCTGAGACACAGTGGGCTGAGGCTGGGCTGTATCCCCAGTGGCATACAGTGTTTGAGCCTACACCGTTGTAATTTACCCTAATCTTTATATTTAATGCAAATGCTTTAGTAAAGTTCAATTTGAGTTATGGCGAAGGTGCTTACAATGGTGTATAAACAAAGCACTGGAGGGATTTATTTTTAAGCTGTACACCAGTAACACCACAATTCATTCACACTACATGTATATGTATCTGTATATACTCCACTGGCTTCAGCTATATAGCTATGTTTTATGTTTATTTCATTTGTTTTGAGTAAACAACTAACTTAACCCACAGCATTTTAATTCGTTTTTTGTGTGCAAACATCTCTTCCAGCTCTGACTATGGGTATTTACATTTGTGTCACTCACTTAGAACCACACAGTGCTCTTCAAAGGAAATGCTTCACACACAGAGATGGTAAGGCTAAATTATTGGCCATATATATATTCAGGCAATTGCTGCAAATGATGGCTTAGATGACAGTGTGTTTGCAAAGTGCACACTTAAGATTTAGTGGCTTTTGTGCTTTCATCTCAACTTTCTCTTCAGTTTACTTTTGCTTTATTTAACTAACTTTAGCCTTCACATTCTGGATCTTTACATAAACAGGTGTCTATGAAAGACAAAGTTTCTATAGTCAGAATTGAATTTATAAACACTGAAAGTGTTTTTATGTCTTTGTCTGAAAAAAGGATTTGTTTAAGTCTCTTGGCTATGGGGTACTTGTTCCCTGAAACCTAGCATCCTGTTTTAACTTCTGATCTTCCACATACCTGAATCCTTCTTGCTCCCCTTGCCTCCATCTCTGTTCTTCTTCAGCACTGCTTTGAACATGGCAAGATTCTTGGAATCCTCTCTGTAGGGCCCCTGGGGGAAAAGGAAAACAAACTTACAACCATGATAAGACAACAGAAATGCATCTATTGTCACTCATAGAAAACCATGGAAATTATCCAGTAACACAAAAAAGTTTATTTCTATTCATGGGACAGAAAAGATGTCACCTGCAAATTAGAAAACCCTCAAAAGGTGCCCTCAACAACATAGCAATGGCAAAAAAAAGTGTATATCCGCATTTCATACTGCTTAGCTGGCATCCGCCTGGGAGTTTTCCCACAGCATTCTCAATCCTGCAGGTCATCAGTGGAGGGGCGCATGGAAAGAATGCTCTAATATTTAAACAGAAAAGGACAAGTTCTGCTATCTTGTTATGCAGGAAAACACCCTGTCAAATGCCCTGAATTCCACATGTAATTGATGCTATGTGGCTGAACTTGGGTGTTTGCAACTGCTTTCAATAGCTGTTCCCAAGCTAGTGTGCATTTTGAATCCTTAGAGTTAAACGGTATAATATGAACTCTAGGTCCAGCCTGGAGATGTGCTTGTTTACTTTGGGATTATTTGTAGTCTTATGTAGTTAGACAATGGTAAAACATACTTAACTAAGCACAGCAGAAGCTACAGCAGTTCACTGTGTGGGATTTTTTCTAAACACATTATAGGCTACTACAGGGTACCCTACTGTAATAATAGCAGCAGAACAATCTTCCCAATGAAGAGAACAGAATGGTTTCAACCAAATAAGGGTATGCTTTCTGCAAACAAAACACACAGTCCTTGTGCTGAGTTCTTAACCACAGAAGCCAGGCTTTAAATATCTAGGTCCTCTTACTGCTGCTGTGAGAGAGGCTATCGATCTGCCCCTTTTCATCCTTGATGGTTCCAGATGAAACATTGTGAGGCAGAGCCTCCACTGAATCAGTTATAGGAGGTGAGGTGTAAGGGGCAAATCCCTGATGAGCTTCTGCTACTCAAGTCAGCCTTGACTGGTGAAAAAAAATCCTTTTCATGGGATTTTACTCCACCAAGCAACACACCAAATCAAGATTATGAATGCAGTTTCAATGTGGGAGCCCGCATTTGTGTTTCATTCTTAAGTACCCAGGGAGAAAACACACACAGAGAAAGCAAGGCATCACATTCTCCAACCCTACACCATTGTTTACCCTATACCTTCTGTAACTAATCAATTTCAGTATTTAATTACTAGGCTCTGTCCAATTATTACATCAATGCCCTTCTATCTGTCTGTACAGTAAACTGATTTCCTTTAAAGTTGCTGAACATTTATTCAATATTCCCCTAATACCCACCTACATAATTCTAGGTCTATGACAAAAACAATTGACAAACCTCACTGCAGTCGCACCATCAGATCAGAAAGGCCAGGTAATTTCACTGTAAACATAACCTCGCCTTCTTCTGGCTGAAGTTTGTCTTTCAAATAAAAGCCATCCAAAAAGTCAGGTCCCTTGCACAGTAACACCGGAATTTGGCATGTAAGGCTTACATAACAAAGAGGATGCTCAAGTGTCTGCTCAGTTGACCGTAAGTAGGGCTCAAGTCAACCTATACTGATAACAGTAAGTTGGAAATATGTATATGTTTTTTTTTTATTCCTGATGCTTAGACCCAGTGGACCACCAGGCTTGCAATATACTTGGAGAAACCTAACAACCAAACTAAACCTTATACACAACTAATACTAAATACTCAATGTAATTCTTATATATAACTCTACCTAAAAATATGTGAACAACAACCAATCGATTAACAGTCATGAGGTTGTTGCAGTAGTAGGACACAGAGTATTTGGAAGCTCTGAACAAAGCTTCAAAAATTAGACGTCTAGAAGGGAAATATATGGTGATCTAATATAAACGACTGTCATGCAAGTCTGGTATGTTTTCAGTCTATTTTGATTGAAATAATGATATAATAACAGGGAGATTAGATGGTAGGATAAAGTACAGAACGCCACTTCTGGAAGTGGAATTAGTCTAATGCTCAAGAATGCACAGGTGTCTGAATCTAGTCCTTGGTTGCTTATGCCCATGTCATCAAAGAACTTGACAGCAATGTAAACGCCAGGGGTGATGTAGTAAGAAAAGATCTGATGACTGTGTATATCAATATCTATACAGTGTAGGGATGTCACGAGAACCGATACTTTGGTACCAAGTCGATGCTAACGTTTAAAAAATGTGACGGTACTCGTTATTCTACGGCACCATAGTTACCGGGGAATCAATTCAAATCAAAGAGAAACACGCAGAGACAGACGCTCTATGGCGCAGATACTGTGTTTATTTTACGAGCATGGACCAGGTAAAGCAAGAGTGAACAGCAGTGAACACATCGGCTACTAGATTTCTGGTACCGTTACATGCCAAGTACAGTGGCCTAATCAGAAGTGCTGACGCCTGTGTGGGAGCTGGCTGCTCATCTCTACAGTAACAATAAACATCACCCAGGTTAACCCAAAGGAAATGAAAAACGCCCTCTTGAAACTCCAAAAGCCAACATGACAAATTCCTTCCATCGCCCCTCCCCCCCATCACAGCCACCAGACACACACAGTCAGTACCCACTGTGAGAATTAGTGATGTTCTGGTAGCATTTCCTTCCTCTCGATAACATTTCGGATACTTGTCTTTGCGTACTGGGCTAATAAATTATGTGGTATTGGATCGGTGAATAGGCAGATGTACTCGCCGATACCCAATATTTTAGGCAGTATCGGAGAAATTTCAAATACTGGTATTGAAACAACTCCTCCAGAATGAGACACCACCTCTTCAGTCGTTATCACTTTTAATCCTGGGGTTTGCTTCTATTGGCCAGTTTTATCCAAGGTGGAAGAATTCATCCCGGACATTACAGGAGTGAAAGTCAAAAATGTTGGTTTCAGTGAGCCACAATGTAGAACCAGTGCTACATACTATAACAGCGTGATATTTTTCTCCATAAGACACACACACACACACACACACACACACACACACATTCTTGCCAACTGAACAGACAACTATGACACTAGACTGCAACAGCGACAGATGGTCACAGATCAAGATTGGGTTATTACTGCTCCAACTATGCCTGGTAGAGGAGCAACAAAACAAGTGACCTGAGTGTTAATGAGAAGGTATAATTAGTAATATGTTAACAGCTCAAAAACGAACACTGGCCACTGCAGTAAGGACTCAGCCTTCATATGTGGTGCACACCGATATAAGAGGGAGTTTGCAGGTATTGCTTTCTAAACAGGCAGAGTCACAACAGCACAGTGTTTCTCAAAAACCACAGTGAACATTGGTGCAGCATTTGAATCATATATAATATATAGGTAAGGAACCTCCATTGCAGCGAATACTAGCCACAAAGCTAGAAAGCTGGAAAGTTTGTTTTTGTTGCAAAATAGTCAATACAATGCTGTTGACATTTTACTAACACTTCACAAACATTAATTTTAGCTATACCATGAAATGACAACTTACATGACACTGGTATCAATTACATCTAATTACACCCTAGGAAACACAATCAACGTTGTATCAACATATCAGTGTAACATGATGCATTCATGCCCTGCAGAGACAAGCCAATTCAGTATCTTCATCAAGATTTCTGAACTCATGAACACATTATGAGAAACAGATATGAAGACAATACGTCTTGATCTTGCTCAAGCCTGAGGCTGTTTTTGTTGGAGGTAGATGTGAGGACGTGTGGATAATTCAAAAGCAAAGGCACAATAATCCACATCAAATGCAGGTACACTTAAGCTGTAGTGGGGATATAACTGTGACTTCTGTAAGAAAGTCTCCTCAGGGAGGAGTCATGGACTGCATGGTATGCAGCAAGACGGGCATCAAGATTCCTCAAGCCCTCAAAGTCAGGTCCATCCCAGTGCTCTTAAGCTGTGTTTGGATATCAGCCACAAAGCATGGCCCCTTAGAAGGGGCCTCTCAATATTGAAACAGGGCAGTGAAAGTCCCACAGTGGCTCACAGGTCTTTGAGGACACACACTGGCTCAATGGATAAAATAGACTCACAATATTCTCATTTGCTCTGTGCAAGACTCCCCAAGAGCAAGAAGAAGCCCCAGAGAAACAGAAGAGTATTGTGCTCATGGTACTGCCTCCTGGTTTATGTCAAAAGACTAATAACCTAGTCACCAAAAGTCATTAACAGTCTTCAAAACTGAAGGAATACCCAATAAGACCATATGAGTGTATTTAGGCAATAACACAAAGCATTAAGGATGCCTCCCCACTGCTGACATTTTCTACCAGGTATATGTCAGCTCCTATGACCTTCACATATGGGCTTTTCGTTACCTTGGAACAGCTCAAGGCAACAATAAAAACGACGCCAGTCTATTGTACAAGGAGATGGTTTCCTTTCACAGAAGAGAAATTGGAAACCAGGGTGGTTAAGGGGTTCCTCAGGTTATCAACATGTATGTTTTTCCAGGTCATTCTTGACTTGATAGAGTTCAAACCCATACCGGGTGTGAGGAAGAATAGATCCTCACCTGCACAATGCTGATGTGACATGTGGTTAATGGGGCCATCTAGCTATACCACAGTCATCTGAGAAGACAGCTATATATAGAACGGAAACAGGATTGTTTGACCCGATTGCCTCTGGCAGGGAAGCATTTCATACATTGGTGAGTTAGGACGTGCTTTGTCCTCTGTCAGATGGCACACAATAGAGAGAGCTCCCTTAAGCTCAGATCAACTTCACCACTCTTCCAGGATCGCAGCAAACGGCCATTTTCCAGCCTATGCGTTCATCTTTTCCCAATCAAAACACCCTGCCAGCTCTCTTCATCGACTGACATGAATGATCACTCTCAGATTTCCACAACGCCGTCATAGCGACATGGAAATTCTCACCATGGGCTGACCTTCAACTTGTTTTATTAAACACTGCCTAGAAGTGATCAGATATTTTAAAATCTTCCTGTGAACTGCATAATTATCTATTCTTTTGTTGTCCATTCACTCAAAGCAGGAAA